ACAGAAATATCGTTTTGTTTAAGAATCCTGCCTCACCTCCTAATAGAGATCTTATATAAGGAATATGCACACCCTTTAAAATCCACAAGATTCTGAATCCTAAAAATACATCTAACCTAAAGGTTATAGATAAGGAATCACCTGTCTGTGACTACCGAGTGGTCATTGAGTATCATGTGCCAAGGACAGTGCTAAGTGCTTCAGTTTCAAAGTCTCACAATAACCTTAGAGAGTTGTCTTTTATAGCTAAGGAAATAAAGTTATTGAAATTAAAAATATTAACTTGCCCAAGATCATAGACCTAGTCAAAAGACAAGGCAGAGTTCAGATCCAGATTTATCTAACTACATAGTTCTTAACTATAAAGGTCACTATCTTCATTAAAATAAAGATATGGCAAAAGATAAGGGTTCTTTGAGAAATCTAATGGAGAAGGAGGAAAAAACATATTGGTTGAAGATGAATTGAACCAATGTACAACAATATATATTAGGGGGAATATGGGCTGAAGTTAAAGCGCAGATGCAAGAAAATGGCAGTGGTTCTGGAGGCCCCTGTCAGAGAGAATGGGTTACATAAAACAAATTTAAAATCCTCAAGCTCATTGTGGTGACCAATTAACACAGGTCAGGTAGCCTGTTATGAGGAGAGGAGATAAAGGAAGATGAAGAGATCATGGAGATATGTAAATGACTTATCACAGAAGTAAGGAGGCTTGGATATCAGTGAAAAAAGTAAATTAAAATGTGGGTATTAATCATATGCTCATGACAAATCACAAACAAACTAAAAAGCATATGATCTAATATATGTTCAGAGCTGGGCATTATTAAAATAAATCAAATATACACTATTAAAATATTTCATTTATAATTATGAGTCTAATATTTATTTAATTTACATTCTGATTTTTAATAATTCTGAGATCAATCAGTATTGTCATTAGTAAGTCTCCAAATAAAATGATGTGATATGTAAAAATCACCCACCGTTTTTACTTCATACTACCTAAGACTGGCCAGAACCTCTATGTAGTAAAAGTTGTAGTTTGCAGAAAGCAAGAATCCCAACAGAGTTCCAAGATACCAATATGATTATCCATATGTTACTTGATGTTTAACTCACTATCTTAGGTTATGTAAAAATCTAATCCAAGAAAATAGAATAGGGGGCAAAAAGGTCTGTCTTCAAGTGACTAAGTGTGCATCTAGCTTGACTTAATCTCATAATGTATTATTCTAAAGGAAAACATAAACATTTGCCAAGTATTCATATCCCTGTTCTATTCTTTCAGCACAGACATTGTAAAAGGTAATTACATACGATGTTTAACATCTCCTCAGGTCTTGTAGGAGCCTATAAAGCTTCCTCTTCTACTAACTGGCCAAATGCATTAATACAGCTTTTAAGGCTGATCTGCTTTGAAAAGATAAAATACAATATTGTTTCTCTCAAATTCTTGGGAATGATGACTTTAGAAATTTCCTCAGACTAGTTAAGAATTAAGAAGACAGATTTTAAGAGACTTTGGCCAATCAGATAGCCTCCAGTTTGAAGGGGGCCTGCACAGAGTAACTCAGAACGGTTTCATCATGTGTGGTTTAAAAGTGACTAAAGATCTCAGAATCACATCTTAGTAGCGTTGCCAA